CGCCCAAAAATGAAAAAAAACGAAAGGGGTAACACTGTCGTTTTTTTTTCGGGTCGAAATTTTGAATTTTGATATCTCAGCTCTGGAAGGGTCTAGAGCCTCCATTTTTGCACTCAGGTCAAAGTCTCACAGCCCTCTATCATAATCCAGAGTTTTGAGAAGATTGGAGAAACTTAATTTTTCGCCCAAAAATGAAAAAAAACGAAAGGGGTAACACTGTCGTTTTTTTTTCGGGTCGAAATTTTGAATTTTGATATCTCAGCTCTGGAAGGGTCTAGAGCCTCCATTTTTGCACTCAGGTCAAAGTCTCACAGCCCTCTATCATAATCCAGAGTTTTGAGAAGATTGGAGAAACTTAATTTTTCGCCCAAAAATGAAAAAAAACGAAAGGGGTAACACTGTCGTTTTTTTTTCGGGTCGAAATTTTGAATTTTGATATCTCAGCTCTGGAAGGGTCTAGAGCCTCCATTTTTGCACTCAGGTCAAAGTCTCACAGCCCTCTATCATAATCCAGAGTTTTGAGAAGATTGGAGAAACTTAATTTTTCGCCCAAAAATGAAAAAAAACGAAAGGGGTAACACTGTCGTTTTTTTTTCGGGTCGAAATTTTGAATTTTGATATCTCAGCTCTGGAAGGGTCTAGAGCCTCCATTTTTGCACTCAGGTCAAAGTCTCGCAGCCCTCTATCATAATCCAGAGTTTTGAGAAGATTGGAGAAACTTAATTTTTCGCCCAAAAATGAAAAAAAACGAAAGGGGTACCACTGTCGTTTTTTGGGGGGGTCAAAATTTTGAGTTTCCCTGATCTTCTTGAAACTCTGGATTCTGATAGAGGGCCATGGGACTTAGACCTGAGTGCAAAAATGGAGGCTCTATACCCTTCCAGAACTGAGATATTGAGATATGTATAATGGCAAACATGCTATGTGGGATCTCAATATCTCAGCTCTGGAAGGGTATAGAGCCTCCATTTTTGCACTCAGGTCTAAGTCTCATGGCCCTCTGTCAGAATCCAGAGTTTCAAGAAGATTGGAGAAACTTATTTTTTCACCAAAAAACAAAAAAAAACGAAAGGGGTAACACTGTTGTTGTTTTTTTCGGGTCGAAATTTTGAGTTTCTCTGATCTTCTTGAAACTCTGGATTCTGATAGAGAGCCATGGGACTTAGACCTGAGTGCAAAAATGGAGGCTCTAGACCCTTCCAGAACTGAGATATTGAGATGTGTATAATGGCATACATGCTACGTGGGATCTCAATATCTCAGCTCTGGAAGAGTCTAGAGCCTCCATTTTTGCACTCAGGTCTAAGTCCCATGGCCCTCTATCAGAATCCAGAGTTTCAAGAAGATTGTAGAAACTTATTTTTCGCACAAAAAACAAAAACAAAAGGGGTACCATTGTCGTTTTTTTGGGCGTGTCAAAATTTTGAGTTTCTCTGATCTTCTTGACACTCTGGATTCTGATAGAGGGCCATGGGACTTAGATCTGAGTGCAAAATGGAGGCTCTATACCCTTCCAGAAGTGAGATATTGCGATATGTATAATGGCATACATGCTACGTGGGATCTCAATATCTCAGCTCTGGAAGGGTCTAGAGCCTCCATTTTTGCACTCAGGTCTAAGTCCCATGACCCTCTATCAGAATCCAGAGTTTCAAGAAGATTGGAGAAACTTATTTTTCGCACCAAAAAAAACCCCGAAAGGGGTACCATTGTCGTTTTTTTGGGGGGTCGTAATTTTGAGTTTCTCTGATCTTCTTGAAACTCTGGATTCTGATTGAGGGCCATGGGACTTAGACCTGAGTGCAAAAATGGAGGCTCTAGATCCTTCCAGAACTGAGATATTGAGATATGTATAATGGCATAAATGAGAGTCAGAGTCAGAGTATCTTTATTTGTCTCCCACAGGAGAAATTAGTCTGTGGATAAAGAGTTTGCTGCATGAGGATTTCAACAATACAAAAACACAGAAACAGTTAAAAACAAAAACAAAAAAATACATAAAACTTTGTGGTTTCTCAGAGAACTGTGCAAAAAAGCAAATCACCAGTTTCTAAATTCTGCTGATGCAAGAGTGGTATCCCAAATACACAATATACAATATAAGGCTAAAAATAAAAACAGTTGGAAACGATAATACATAGAATATTCAGTTTATCTGAAAGGCTGTGCAAAGTTGCAAATCATACATAACATTTCATCACGGATAAACCATACATTAATAAATTCATTATCACATATACATCACTGATCATTCATGAGCTTAAATGCTACGTGGTGTCTCAATATCTCAGCTCTGGAAGGGTCTAGAGCCTCAATTTTTGCACTCAGGTCTAAGTCCCATGGCCCTCTATCAGAATCCACAGTTTCAAAAAGATCAGAGAAACTCAAAATTTCGACCCAAAAAAAAAAAAAAAAAACGACAGTGTTACCCCTGTCGGTTTTTTTTTTGTGTGCGAAAAAATAAGTTTCTCCAATCTTCTTGAAACTCTGGATTCTGATAGAGGGCCATGGGACTTAGACCTGAGTGCAAAAATGGAGGCTCTAGACCCTTCCAGAAGAGATATTGAGATAAGTATAATGGCATACATGCTACAATATCTCAGCTCTGGAAGGATCTGGAGCCTCCATTTTTGCACTCAGGTTTAAGTCCAATGACCCTCTATCAGAATCCAGAGTTTCAAGAAGATTGGAGAAACTTGTTTTTCGCACAAAAAAAAACAAAAAAACGAAAGGGGTACCACTGTCGTTTTTTTTGGGGGGGGGGTCGAAATTTTGAGTTTCTCTGATCTTCTTGAAATGGAGGGTCTAGACCCTTCCAGAGCTGAGATATTGAGATATTTATAATGCCATAAATGCTATGTGGTATCTCAATATCTTAGCTCTGGAAGGGTCTAGAGCCTCCATTTTTGCACTCAGGTCTAAGTCCCATGGCCCTCTATCAGAATCCAGAGTTTCAAGAAGATCAGAGAAACTCAAAATTTCGACCCAAAAAAAAACAAAAAAAACAACAACCGTGTTACCCCTGTCGTTTTGTTTTTTTTTTTTTTTTGCGAAAAAATAAGTTTCTCCAATCTTCTTGAAACTCTGGATTCTGATAGAGGGCCATGGGATAATTTTATGTTTATTCATTTATTTCATGCTGGTACATTTTGGGGAATTACACCTGTTTTGACCTGATGTAATTGACAAAAAAAAAATTTCATTTGTTTTCATTTATAGAAACCTCATGAGCTGGGAAAATGTACTTTTATATTTTTCAGAAACTTGAAACATAATTCAGGTCTGAGGGGGTTAAAAAGCTATTTAGTGTTAAGATATGCTTTAATGAATTGCTGGGGATTGGTTTCTTACAGAGCAGGAAATGGACAGAGGTTTTCAGCACTATTAATTTGACCGCGCAGTGTTTTGCCAAAGCTATCGAGGCTGGAACACATTTTTTGGGGGTGAAATCAAAACGTTCTGTTCTGTGCGTCTGTGTTTGCACATTCTGGCTCTCTTTGTCATGGCCTGCTTTGAACTATGGATATAAAACAGTTGAGGCACACACATACACAGCTTTGCCATATAGGGTCTCTCTTTATTTTCTAGATATGAATGAGAGATATTTACCATGTATGCAGTGTATATATGACCGTGTGTGTGTGTGTGTGTTTGTACAGTATGGTGGTCTCAAATTCCAGCCCCTTGCTGCTCAGTTCATCCCTGTCCGGTGGATGAATTGAGTGAGCGAATAAGAAATAAAGAAACCTGACCCCAACCACACACTTATCCAACAATGGCCTCTCATTCAAGCACACCGACCCCTACCAACACACTCTGGTCCAAGGCCAAAACCAGATGTGCGCTTCACTTTTTAAAATCATCTTATGGTATTAATATCAATGTGGCTGTTATGTCCTCAATTGTCATAATAGTATATCTCAAATGATAGCCATATTGACAAAGCATGTCATTTTAGCCAATGAAATCTGTCCACCTCATTCTAGAAGCTTGTTTATTGGAAGATGTTGCTTTTTAAATTACTGTAATAGGCCACAATTATTTGGGGGGGAATATGAAACTGTGTAATTAATAGGGTGATATTTCATTAATTTCTGATGTAGTGGACGACATTCACCTCTGTTGTTAATACTGAATGTACTGGTTTACGGAATGTACAATAAATATACTGGACTTTAGAGAAACATCCACATACATAAAGAACATTATTGGAGCAATTTATAACAATTATCTGACAAACTCAAATTCAAACTTGCATGTGTGTGTGTGTGTGTGTGTGTGCTTATATACATTATCGTATTATATTATATTTAAAAAACTGACTTAAGTTATAAATTACAAAAATACATTTTAAAAAGACACAAAGCTAGTAGAAATATGTAGAAACTAATTAGTAAGTAAATAGAACTCAAAGTTTCAATCCCTCATTTGCACTCAAGATATACATTAAAACTCTGCGATGTTATTTTTGGGAGCTGTGTTTTTCAGGTTGCGTTCTTCTGTGTGCGTGTAGGTGGGGGGTCATTATGGTGTAGTGTGTCCTCTCACTATACGCTAGGCTCACAGCACCAACCTGAGACCAGATACAGTTAATTATCTACCAGGCACACACACACACACACACACACACAAAGACAAGAGTGCATGAACTAACCAGAGTGACAGAAGAACCTTCCGTTGGACCGAAAAGAGACAGTCTAGATGAAAAAAACAGATAAAGAGAGGCTTGAGACGAGTCAAAGACAGGTACCTGGTACCAACACTGGACATGTGATTATGGATCAGTATCAGGACTAAAGAAAAAACACACGAGAGGAGCGAAGAGTGGACATTCTCCTTCTTGACAGAACAGACCAACACTGACAGCAAAAGAAGAACCAGTGAGACCAGCCTCCATCACTCATGCCCTTCCTCCCTTGCCAACCGGTTTTCCTCCATCCTCCACCTGTCCGCTCGGTGTCACCCCGTGGATCTGCTAGCAGACGGGCGTCACTGGCATCATGCCGGCTGCATTGAAGTCATCTCTGGATGGGAGCATGACAGATTCAGGGGAGCTGGAGCTGGCGGCACCTCCCTGTCTCGGAAAAGTGCCCCGCGACCTGCTCCAAAACTTTCCTCACACTAAGCGTGTGGGCAGCTACCTGGTGGGCAAAATGATCAACAAGGGCTCGTTCGCCAAAGTTATGCTGGGGATGCACATCAGCACAGGAGAGAAGGTAACCGGCACACACCCAGTCTCTTACACGCAGACGACGCCTGTCAATCAAAGGCACAGTGTCACACACTAATGGTGTCAGTCATCAGTGCGCTGAAGGGTTGTCATCCATTTTTCATGCCGTCTCTCTGTCTCAGCTTTCATAGCGACTCCGTCTTTCCTAATCTTTGGCACGCACCGCAGTAATAATCCTGCCACACAAACACACTGATAGAAACATTCAATGGCATTTTATGTTTAGTGGGATGACCATGAATTGTGTGTTGGCTAGTGATTTTTATGCATGCTAACAAGTGTGTAGTTTGGTTACATTTTACAGTAAGGTCCCATTAGTTAATGCATTAACTAACATTCACTAACATTTGTTTATTAATCTTCAATAAAATTAGTTACAAATACTTCCATTGATTGTTCATGATAACTCAGGTCCATTAAATAATGTGGTAACACTTTACAATAAGGTTCATTAGTTAACATTAGTAAATGCATTAACTAACAATGAGCAATCCATTAGTTACGGTGTTTATTAATCTTTGTTAATGTTAGTTAATACAAATACAGCTGTTCATTGTGTGTTCATGTTAGTTCACAGTCCATTAACTAATGTTAACTAATACAACCTTTGATTTTAATAACGTATTAGTAAATGTTGGAATTAATATTAACTAAGATTAATAAGTGGTGAAGAAGTATTGTTCACATATTGTACATGTTAACTAATGTAGTTAACTAATGTTAACTAATGAACCTTATTGTAAAGTGTTACCAATAATTTAATTATCAGATACAATGTTTGATGTTAATAATGTCTTATGTTGAAATTTACATGAACTAAGATTAATAAATGCTTTAAGTTTTCATCACTAGTTCACGTGAACTAATGTATCCCTACTGTAAGATGTTGCCTGAATTTTGTCTGCAGATGTATAATAGATGGTAATGATATTGTTTTAGTGATTTGAAATTTTATTTGAAATTTTAAAAAATTTGTTTTTATTTTGAATGTGTTTGTGTATGAATGTAATGTAGGTTTACATATAAATTAGATTATTTATTTATAAATAAATATGCAATATTGCCAGTATATCAATAATGAGTAAATAGATGGTAATTCGAAAACTGCTGGGTTCATCATGACACAGACTAACAGAGAGAGAGAGTTTTATCTCAACCTGTCCTCCAATCCTCACTGCGGTGACCTGAGCTTTCACGGGTCAGTAAATGTGGCCTGTGTGCGTGTGAATGTTACCAGCTCTTATTCACATCACTGAGCCCTTCATGACCACTCTGTTTACCTGAACAGGTTGCTGTGGTGATGCGTAGGCATACATCACCCCAAGCACAATCCTAGAATTTTAGAATGTCAATTATTATCATGGAGTTCCTAAAGAGAGGGACTGTGAGCTATAGTGTATGCCGTGCTATGGACGGCATTGGGAAACTCACCTAAACCAGTTTCATATAGAAGTTCTTTACACAGTATTGTCTTAAATAAAAATCAAGTGAGATCTCTTGTCCCCCCCCCCCGACCCCGCTGTGAAGTGAAATTAAAAATGTCTTACTTCATACACGATATCTTAAATACTTCTAAGACTAAACTGTCCTTTTACATTATTATTTCTTTACTAGAAAAACCTTCAAAAAACATAATTGCTCTCTGTTTCTGCAGGTGGCGATAAAGGTGATAGATAAGAAGAAGGCTCGTCAGGATTCATACGTTTTAAAAAACATGAAGCGTGAACCCCGGATTCACCAGCTGATCCGCCACCCCAACATCGTCTTGCTGCTGGAGACGTTGGAGACGGAGAACTGCTACTACATGGCCATGGAGCTGTGCGGAGGAGGAGACCTTATGGACCGAATCTGTGAACGCAAGCGGCTGGAGGAGAGAGAGGTCCGCAGGTACACCCGCCAGATACTGTCTGCAGTGGAACACCTGCACCGACACGGGATAGTTCACAGGTAATCAACACACACACAGATACTGACAGGATATGTTAAATGACAAAATTACACCCACAAAATGAAGTGTCATATGGAGTGTTAGGGATAGTGGAGTGGAAAGAGAACGAAAAAGAAAGGAAAACACTGAGAGGGTGCTATGCAGTATAGCGGATTCTAGTCTAAAATAATGAAGTGCTGTGTGTCATAGATGAGAGAAGTGTGATTGGGTTGGTTTGTCGGTGTGCTTGGTTATATTCTGAGGAACTTGAATTGGCATATCTTAAAATATGTCAGTGCCATTGTTTTGTCTCAAGATGCACACCAGTAATGTTTATTCTAAGGCACGTTTATAACGGCTAAATGCCTCAAATTAACTAAGGCCTAATCCTGGCTTAAAGGAGTAGTTCACTATATAAAAAAACTTTTGCTGATAATTTACTCACCCCATGTCATCCAAGATGTCCATGTCTTTCTATCCTCAGTTGAAAAGAAATTAAGGTTTTTGATGAAAACATTCAAGGATTTTCTCCATATAATGGACTAATGGATAGTTCAAGGTCCAAATGAGAGTTTCAGTGCAGCTTCAAAGGGCTTTAAACGACACCAGATGATGAATAAGGGTCTTATCTAGCAATCGGCCATTTCAAAAAGAAATAAAAAAGTTTAAGTTTTATAAGCACAAATGCTCGCCTTGCTCTGTTCTGTGATGTGCGTTCGTGACTCTCCTGTTCAAACTCGTTCATCAAAATGAACAAATCTTTTTTCGGGTCATTTTGTTCATTCAACGAACGAAATGAACGAAATGACTCAGAAAAAAAGATTCGTCATGAAGAATGAAAGACATGGACATCTTGGATGACATGGGGGTGAGTAAATTATCAGCAAAAGTTGTTTTAAAAGTGAACTACTCCTTTAATTTTAACCCAGTCTGTGAAACCGGGCCTTAGAGTCTTATATAGTTTTTTGGTTGCACTTTATTTTACAGTATGTGTACTTAAATAAAAAAGTACTGGTTAATATAAGGTAACTGGTTAAGCTTAGTTTTAGGGGTAGGTTCAGGGTTAGTACCAACTTATTACCCAGCTATTGTAATAACTATACATAGATGTTCATGGGGAACAGGAGTGCTACCAATATTTTTTTTTTAACAAAAAGTTTGTCTGAAAATAGGTGAAATCAAATGTGAATGTATGTGGGTTCAATTAGCTATAGTTTGTGGATACATTTTGGATTTGATAAATTATATTAAATCATTAGCACAATAAATGAATAATAATACAAATTATATTAAAAATCTCAGTTCAAGATTATATTAAATATATCTAAAATGATCAAATAAAAAAATGAAAACATTTATTTTAAAAACACATTTTGTTGTTTTAGGGGTAGGGTTAGAGTAAAAAAAAAGTCTAAAGTATGTCCTGATTTAAGTAAGTAAGCGTGTATATGTGTGTGCGTGCAGTGCTTTGGTCTGCCAGTGAAGCCTAATTGAGGCAAGAGTGGGAATGTCATTAGCTTCCCATGACATCATCAGCCAGAGCCACTATGGTTAACACATCATTGACTAACTTCCTTACTAATGGAGTCCCAGGATGAAGCTTCATAATGCTGAGGTCTGTCACACACAATCCACTCAGTAAAGAGCCTTTTTTAGAATATGTCAAGGATCAAAGGACGTACATCAACCTACACGCCACACACACTTGACTACCCGTCGCGTTAGTCAACACATACAGTTGCCATGGTAATGAAAGGAGCATGTGGGTTCATGTCCATTTCAGTTCAAAAGTTCACCCACTTCAAATAAGATTAATCAGACCAAAATCAAACTATTTTATCAACTGGCTCCACAAACACCCTCTGTATGAATTTAAGCCTGTCTCGTCTGACCTCTCTATACACACTAATAATACTCCCGAAAAGCTCAGTCAAATGCTTTCCCCTAACACACTGTCAGAGAACTTTAATACTGGCAGATTGTCAGTCTTTTGTGTGTGTGTGTCCATTGAGCTTTGAGATGTCAGCCATGTCAGTAAAAATGGGAAATGAAAATAGCTTTGAGGGCTGTGATATTTTTATAGGCTTTTCATATAATTTCATATTAAATGTGAGGAGTGTGCGGTCGTCAAAGTGAGTGTGAGTGTTTATTATGAAGTGGAAAGAAAGGGAGAAAGAGGGAAGATAAAAGGAAAAAGAGAGTGGAGAGTGTAAAAGTAAAACTTGGCAGAATGACTGAACATCCAGGACCACCAAGCTTTGATATCACCAACAATAACTCTTGTGGGTCTTTGTCCCAATGTATTACATTATATAATCATCAACTAAAACTATTAAAAATTGTTTTAATGATTTAGATGAAATAAATAAAAGATGAAAAACTTAAAGAAATGTACAATAAAAACCCGAAACTAACAAAATTAAAATTGAAAAATAATTACATTTAAAAAATAAAAGCGAATTTAATAATATAACAGTACTGTATATAATTAATACTAAAATGACTAATGAAAACTACATTATAAAATAAGTAAGAATATTTTTGAATACCAACAAATAGTGCCAAATCTTTCCTTTTTTTCTTCTTGCAACATTGGTAAGTGTTCACAATCCTAAAAAAGTTCTTTCCAGATTTAAATCTGAAAGGGAAAAAAATACCCTGATTTTTAAGGAGTTACTTTTAATTCACCTCTTCATCTCTGAATATTGTTTTTTAACTAGGGACTTGAAGATTGAAAACTTCCTTCTGGATGAGCACAACAACATTAAGATAGTTGGTGAGTGTGTCTTGCCTCTTACATCTTTTACATGTGTATATATGTACACAATTTATTTTAATTTAATTTTCTGACTGTAATACATTAATACCTCTAAGAATGACTCATAAATATGGTTTGAGTAGTACACACAAATGCAAGTACACAGGAAGAACTCATTTACAATTAGTCATTAAGCAAAACATATAACTTACCAATGAGAAGTAATAGCATCAACCAATGTCTCTTTCATCCGCTTTTCCGTGCATTTCATTTTAGGCTTCTGAAATCTGTATGAATTATTCTTGAATGTCTAATTACAAAAACATCTAAGGAAGAAAAAACAAATAGAAAAATTAGTTTACTAAACAGTCTGCTATTCACAGTATCTGTATCAGAAACAGTGGACAGTTGTATATTCATGCAATTCCACTTACATGCGAGTGTGTTTGCGTGTAGACTTTGGTCTGAGTAACACCCTGAAGGCAGATTCTCTCTCTCTGGAGCTTCTGAACACGCAGTGTGGCAGCCCTGCTTACGCCGCTCCTGAACTGCTGGCTCACAGGAAGTACGGCCCTAAAGTGGACGTGTGGTCTGTGTGAGTCTTCTAGAAATGGAAATCACATATAATGTCAGCTGATTTTGGGTGTCTTTTTAATGCGGCTCTGTGTGTTTCTGTGTTTATGCATAGGGGTGTGAGTATGTTTGCCATGTTGACCGGCACTTTACCGTTTACGGTGGAGCCCTTCAACATCAAGCAACTTCACCTGAAAATGGTGAATGGAGAAATCAGTGTGATACCATCGGACATCAGCAAAGGTAAAATGAATGGCAGCGGTTATTGTATTTTGCGCTGTGTGGCATTAGCAACACATTAAATAGATACTATATACAGTAATTGAACATTTAAAAAGCTAGCGCACCAACGATGCTACTGCTCCTGTTACCAGTCACATTTCTTAAGTAATTTTGACTGGCTCAATCAGACAATAGTGGGCAGAGTTAGTGAAAATGGCCTCTGCCACCAAATTTATGAATTATGGTGGGAACTTTCCATTCACTTTTTTTATTGACATTTACTATCTTCTACTATCCTCGAAATTATTGGCTGGTCCATACAATGAAGGTGATTTCAGGTTTTACTATATATGTGTGGAAATGAATCCCCATTATACTACCATTCAAAATGTTTGCGTCAGTAAGAGTTTTTTTTTTCAAGACATTGATATTTTTATTCAGCAAGGATGCATTAAATTTGAAAGTGACAGTAAAGACAATTATAATGTCACACTAGATTTCTGTTAAATAGAAAGATCAAAAGAACAACATTTATTTTAATCAAAGAATACTGGAAAATGCATCACTGTTTCCACAAAAATATTAAGCAGAACAATGTTTTCAACATAAGAAATGTTTCTTGAGCAGCGAATCAGCATATTAGAATGATTTCTGAAGGATTGTGTGCAGAGATGTATAGTAACGAAGTAGAACTACTTAAGTACTAAAATGCTGTATCTGTACTCTACTATAGTATTGTTTTTTTCTCATACTTCTACTTTTACTTCTGTAGATATTTTCGATGAATTTAATACTTTTACTTCGATATTTTTTTAATGTTCTGCTAGCTACTCGTTACAATTATAAAAATTTTCCGAATCATTCGTTGCAAGTTGGCTTTCATGCTGCCTAAATCACACACCAGTTTTATAGGGTAATGGTATTGATTGACACACACATTGACAACTAATGCAGGGGCCGCCAAAGCAAATTTGTATCCCGCCAAAGCGCCTTATTTGATTGCTAGTTCAAACTTTTGACTGCTTTCTTTAATAATTGCATGACACAATACTTGTACTTCTACTTTTAGTACTTAAGTAGTGAATTTTTAAATAAACTACTTGCAATACTTAAGTACAAAAAATGTTGAATACTTTAGTACTTCTACTTAAGTGTGGTGCCTAAAGAGCACTTCAACTTCAAGTCACTTTTTTGATAGAGCACTTGTACTTTTACTCAAGTCCGGGTTTCTATTACTTTATACTGTACATCTCTGATTGTGTGACACTGAAGACTGGAGTAATGATGCTGAAAATCCAGCTGTCATCATAGGATGAATTGCATTTTAAAATATATTAAAATCGAAAAAAAGTTATTTGAAATTGTACCCCAAATTTGTGAACGGTACTGTATACGCACACACATGCATACAGTTAAAGATTCATCCGTAAGGAGTTCTACACAGAGGGAGAAAGAGAATAAGTGCAGTAGTGCATTTCAAAGTGTCCTTCCCAATCAGATTGTGAGATCATCTGATCCGGCACATTAATATTAATCTTCATGAATATTAATAACAGAGTATATTAACCAATCACAAAAATAGATACACTACAAACATGATGACGTAAAATGTCTGCTAGTGGAACAAAACCCGGCTGGGTTCCCCGATTCCGTTGCAGGTTATATTAGATCATCGTGAGGTAGTTTGTACATTACGTGTGGTGAATTGCCTCCTGTTTCTCTGAACCACTCATTGTTTATTAAAAAGATAAATATCAGAGTAATGAAAGTTACAGATGCAATACTTTTGCAGATGAAGTAGTTTCTAATCATTAAAGTATCATGGATATCATCTGCTGAATCATTTCAAAAACTCAAAAGTGTGTTCAGTTTTATGCTGGATATCATTTAGCATGATGATAGTGGACAGGAATTACTGTCGTTGAAGAATGGTGGAAATTGATTATGACTGAAGCTTACGGTATGCCATTTTGTGTGTTTTGTTGACATCCTGAGCTTGTCTGTAATGGCACTCTAAGTGAATGAGTAAATGTGATCGTCACTGTCTACTGACACAAACACTAACCTCACGCAAACAAGGCCAGCGCAGTGCCAAACTGGCACTCTGATCTGAAGAGTCCCCCCAGATTGAGAAGGTGGCACGGGGGGGCAAAGTGCCGCTTGAATCTGATCTGCCCTTCTGTAAGAGAAACCTTGAGAAGTTCAGTCTGGGTCGGACACACACACATTCACTCACTCCTCTGACAAATCAGCGTTGAGATCTTCTGTGTAAGGTTAAAACAAGAGTTTTGAGACTACTTTAGCAGTGTCAGGATGTCAGTGTCCTCTCTCTTCTTTTCTTTCTAGCGGCTGTACAGTTTGTCTTGTCTCTGCTGGAACCAGACCCAGCAAAAAGGCCAACAATAAAAGCAGCAATGGAGGATAAATGGTTGAATGAGGGTTATGCCAAGAGACCCCTCCATACTGTAACTCATAAAAACAGGTACCGGCTAAGTGAAATCTAATGCTAAAGTTACACAAAGGAACAGAGATGCAGAGACAACTTGAAAAATCTATTTCCTGATACGTGTATATGCGTGTTCTTTGTTGCTTCTTTAGGCTGCGTCCTGAGGATCTAAATTCAGCTGTGCTAAACTACATGACTGAATCTCTAGGTTACGGTCTCTCTGATGTCATCCACACTGTCATCAGTAACAAGCCGTCGGCCATCTTAGCTTGCTACCATATACTGCTGAAAAAACTCAACAGGCATCAGAAATCTGTGAGGACCATGAAGGTAAAAAGATATATCAAATATTTAACATTATTGACCATAACATCAGTATTTAAATATTAGTGCATGCCTAAACACAAGTATATTTATCAGCATTCCCTGTGTCCTCCATCTTGGAGGACAAATCTCATCACAAACCATGATACTATGATACTTCTGAGGTTGGCATATTATTAAAGGAGTAGTTCACTTTAAAAAAGAAAAACAATGCTGATAATTTACTCACCCCCATGTCATCTAAGATGTCCATGTCTTTCTTTCTTCCGTTGAAAAGAAATTAAGGTTTTTGATGAAAACATTCCAAGATTTTCTCCATATAAATGGACTTCATTGGGAACCAAACGGTTCAAGGTCCAAATGAGAGTTTCAGAAAATCTTGGAATGTTTATCAAAAACCTTAATTTCTTTTCGACTGAAGAAAGAAAGACGTGAACATCTTGGATGACATGGGGGTAAATTATCAGCAAAAGTTTTTTTTTAAAGTGAACTACTCCTTTAAGTTTTGGATCACAGCTAACATGTCAGTCATTGTCCCCAGAAAGAAGAGATTAGCGAATGGAATCTTCTGAATAAGGGCTTGTCGAGAGGGAGAAGCAATGCAAGTGCTAAGAGTCAGCAACAGGTGAATTGTCCTTCTATATCAAGAATTTCATTTTGCTTCTTAAATACTCACAGACACACAAAACATTTAACACACTCTTCCTTCACTAGTCTCCTCAGAGTGACACAGCCAATGAGAGGAGCTCAAGGCAGGCCAGTAAGATCCAGAGCAGCCAATCACAAGACAGAGATGCCCAGACTGGCATGAAAAGACCTGTGGAGATGAGTAAACCAAAGCAGCCAAGCCTAGTGGACAAAGCAGATTCCCCCACCTCACTGCCTGTGGACACAGCGAATGAGAATGCCATACTTGTGGAGACACATGATGGACTGATTCCAAAAGGTAATGCACGTTTACAGGAACGTTTTGAACCCTAAATACAATCAGCAGGAGTAAAAAGCTAAAGTTAAAGGCCGTTCACATAAGGATGATAACTATAAAGATAATGATAAGGATTTAGTTCTCTATATTAAAGATTAGCAGAGTTCACACACCAAAGCTATAACGATAACAGCACAGAGATATCGCTGGAATCACATTCAGAATAATTTTATCGAGCTGATTAACGATAACACATAGATTACCAATCAGAATCCATCCTGATGCAACAAGCTCGAGCATTTAAAGTGACAGACAAGCACTTGGAATAAACAAAACGATGTCGTCTGCTGGTGTGGACGCTAATATAGTTATCTTTATACTTATCGTTCTTGGAGTGAATGGGGCTTTGGGGTATAAACAAACTACACCACAGTCACATGACTACAACGCCAAGTTTGAGATAGAATAGTTTGCAAGAGTGTGAGTGTAAACGCATCGAGGCTGTGGAAGCGAACTTGTGAGTAGATGAGGTAACCTGTTCAGCGTGATGACGTTTAATGGCCCACACACACCCTCTGTAGTCTCAAATAGCCACTAGTTAGCAACTGTCTCCATCAAAGTTTTTTTTTTTTAAATCACATTACTGTTGTATTTTATGTCATAGAATAAAACATGAAAATATCTTTTCAGACCCATTCAAAAAACCCATTGACTTTGGGAAAATGGAACCAAAAGTGTTCACCAATGACACTAATTAATGGGTTTAAAGATTCATTCCTGCAGAACTCTACCATACTTTTATGTTTTGTTTAATTTTGAAATTCACATAATGCATATTCAGCTGACCGAATTTGTATGTGTGTATTTTAGTCTCAACGTTTGGTGAAAAGGAGATGCTTCGTGTCTCACCCCCTAAGTGTTCCTGCAGAGAGGAGAGCTGCACCAAACTCTGTGACTCTGCCCCTTGTGATGCCACTGTAACCATAGACACCTCTAGAGACTCCCAGCCAATCCAACCACATGATCTGAGACCGGCTTACTCTGACAAATATCAATCTCTGGACTGTGAATATCAGCATGATGACAAGTTGGAGAAGTTACAGACGTTCTACTCGGAGAAAGGGGCTTCTCCCAGAACGGGACAGCGCTTTAAGGATCTATTACTGGCCATTGAGGAGAAAACCTACAATGCTCGCCACCTCAGCGCCATGGAAACCACAACACAAACCTCTCCCTTACCGCGACTACGACACACTGGGACGCTTAAAGAATCCGCACCTAGAAAAGTCACTTGGGTAGGCTTGACGCGCCACACAACGGCTGGCACAGGCTCCTCGTCTTTCTTGGTAAATGGGTCCAAACCGCCACTGTTTCCATCACAAAGACAACAAGCTCTCGTCATTAAAAACCTGAGACATGGAAAGGAGAAGAGGAACGTGGGAACGGGAGGGGGAGGAGGGACAGGCCTCCCCAGTAATACAGCGAAAAGAAACTCAATTCAGTTGCGAACGGCTATACAGCGCCGAGTCACGAACCTCAACCTACCAATGCTTCCGTCTGCTTTACAAAACAAATCTGACAAAAAGACAGAAATACTCAGAATGGATTTTGGGTGACAATTGAGGCTTTCTTAAAAGGAGTATTCCAGGGTTTAATACAAATTAAGCTTGCTCGACAGCATGTGTGAATTAATGTTGATTAACACAAAACTAATCATTTTCATTCATCTCTCATTTTCTTTAAGGCAAGACAGACAAAACTTTAAGATTTTAGGATTTTTTTGCTCTTACTTCCGATAGTGGAAACTGGAAAGAAAACATCCAACACATTTACTGGACATGTTTAATTTATAACAGTTCTACTTTTTTGCGCCTATACAATACTTGTCTTTAAAGGCCGTTTTCTCTAAATTCGTTTTTTTTTTCTGATGCACTGAGCCAGAAATCTCCACTTCAGGAGCTTCTTAATTCTGAAGGTTTTTACAGTGAATCTATATAACATTTTATTTCTAAAAACTGATTTATGGAGTGATAAAAAAGAGAGATCCAAAATCCCCACAGAATATCAACAAAATGAAACAAGAATGTTGAATCTGGCTTTATCCAGTGTGTCTGTTTTGGAAATGTATGAAATCAGAGGATATTTAAATAGATAACAACTAATTTCCATATTTAAACAGTAAATTAAGACAATTGCTCTGTATTACAAGTTTTCTGAAATGTTATGTGATTAATCAATCAAAAGTATGGTGATTTCTAACATTTTTTTCTTCTATTAATTCTTACCCTATATTCAATCACTTTCATTGCAAGTACCTTTCTCTCCAATTGTTAATAATATTTTTTTTGGGGGGTAACTTTATGCCACAATTGCCGACATTGGCATCTGCTTCAAAAAACAGTCAACATCTCTTCTTCCCATTACCTCCCCTATTGCCCACCCTAATCCCTCAGTCCCAGGACACTTTGACTACTCTTAATTGTCTAGATGGGATTTGACTGATGCCCATTGTAGGTTTTAAGCTCCTATCATGTTTCTCGCTTTATGACTGAATGCATCTCAATGGCATCACTCAACTATGCCAGTCAGTGCCAAAGGATGAGGATCCATAAGCCAGCTTATTGAGGAAAATAATTGAAGTATTTAACCGGACGCCTAGAATTCAATGAAGTAGAAAACTATTGTTCAGTAATCTGGAAATGTAATTTTGGTATGTCTTTATTTAATCTTTTTTACTTGTAACTTGTGTTACAAATAAACTGACAGGATACACAATTCTGGACTGTTTGCTTTATTGTAAACGTCTAATTAGGCTAATGTTTATTTGAGGTGTGCCAGTTTTGTAACGTGTTTGTTAAATGACCAACTGTGTTGTGGCTGCTCCCCAATGGCCAGAAGGGTTTTGAATAATGAACATGTAAAGGAATCTTTCCCTCTTTTCAACTGGCGAGGAGCTCATGAATTATGAACACTTTGTTTTGGTACATGATATGGTGTTGAGGGGGCTTGGCTTTTGTGTGTGCGTGTATAGATATGTGCTGGAGAGAGATTGATCTGAAGTGAGTGTGGAATGTCTGCGCCTCTTCTCAGACTTGCAACCACATAGTTCCCCAACTTCTAGACAACTAAACTCCCTGAAAATAAATAATCAAACTTTTTTTTAAATTTAATTGCAAAAACAAATGTTATCCTAACACTTGACAACCACAAATTGTCAGTATTTTTAAAGCCTTTTGTTTTTAAATTATGAAACATACCGACCTTCTTTTTATTAAATTAATTTGAAAAGTGTTTAAGCTCAATTTCTTCACAATATTTTACTATATAATGCAATGACATGGCTTGCATGTCCAAGAGTATATGAACATGTCCAGCAATACGTCACCAACCAGTGGCCTGACCTCAAATACACCAATGACATAATGTCTGGACATTACCAGGGTGCTACCATTACCTCCAAGACAATCCCATCCGTCTCTGCTTTAATTAAACACACCATAGAAGAAAATAACAAATATGTACCACCTGACTGACTTAATTGGAAAGACGCTACAGGGGTATCTTACTGTACCCATCAACCTACTGATGAAGAGGCACTTCACCCTGTGTTCCATGGGAATGAATGTGATGGGTCTACATTTAGATTTGCTTTTTGACAGAATAGACTATGGTGATTGTATATCCTTGAATAGATTTCACAAGCTTAACACGTAATAGAGCAATGCTCTACTGTTTGAGTTACAGGAATGTTAATTTATTCAGTGGACTGTGTCAAGGTGACCAGGCACCAGTCAAGCCCAATCTTGCATTAAACAAGCCCAAACTTGCCTAACGCCAAAGATAATGTATAAATCATTAGTCACATTGAAAAACGATGCACTTGCACATGGACGTTCCCAAAAATCTTTTTTTTTCCATTCTGTCAGTATATAATGTAGACTGAAATGCCTCAATGAACGTGTAATTTGCAGACTATTTAAAATATCAAACTATCTCAAACCCTTTATTTACAAAATACCGCACAAGTCTCTGCGATTAAATAGCGCGAGAACCTCAAACCCCCACGCGCTTGGGAACCTGAAAGGTCGCGCGGTCTTTGAGCCTTTTATTAACCTCAAGTTCATCGTCACTGATGTAAACGACGTTAATCCCGGTTTGAATAAAATATGAATGCCGGGGCTTCTGGGTCAAGCAGAAGTGACACCGCTCGGTGTTAATAGTAATCCAGATAAAACGTAGCAAAACTTACAACTGCATGAAAAAAAATCAACCATTAGTACAGGAGGCGGGAAAACAGCCAAACATCCCCCATGTTCGAAGATGATTTCTGTGTAACGTGAGGTGAGGCCGAGTCCTGAGCGTTTCCCAGGAAATAAGAGCAATACACCGGCCCTCTCCGGTTTCTAATGACTTGCATGCATTATTGAGCGCGCACTCCCGGGCAGGACGGCGCGGTCCCACTGGTACCGGGTCAGCCACGCACAAAACGGACCGCGCTCCAGGAACATTACACTGACGTTGGTTAATTCATGCAACCTCTGATTAAATGAAGTGAAATGATTCATCAGGGCAGTACTTAAACAAAAACTCCCTCCTCTTATTGTTTTTCAGATTCTGAAATGTGATGTAAACATTTGACCACAACTGTATGTGTGATAGTCATACTTCAGGCAAACATCAGTGAGATCTCATCCTAGGCTTGGGGAAACTGCAACTGTTGGTTCAAAGGGTCCCATCTTCGCAGTCTTTCAGATGATTGGTTGGGGCTGAGATCAGAGGATCCTATGATTAAAAATAAAAATAATAATAATTAAGACACATTTTCTCTTAATGCATTGTACAGTTATCATTGTTTAAGCACAGGTTAGAGTGATATACTAATAAAAAATATAACAATATAAAACAATTTTGCTTGTTGGACAGCAACAAGAATGGAAATAATCAAAGCAAGTCAAAGTGCTTTAATTCTTGCCATTTCAGTAACTAAATAAAATACAAGATAACTTGGGAAACTGAATGGTATTTAAACAAAAAACATCTTTGAAGAGCAGCAGTATTGCAGAAGAATGGCAGGATTTACCACCTGACCAAAAAACAATCGAGCCAAATAATTTATACCACACAGTAAATTCATAATAAAACTGGTAGATTTCTACACTTACTAGAACATTGAAACAAACAAAATGAGTAAAATTTACACCGCACTTTAACACTTATGATATACATTTAAGTAAGTTGCTAAAACACACCTTTTCTGCCTTGTTTGCCTCAAGAAGTCAGCTGCAGTTCTTCCTTCAGTTCCGTTTCTGGGGACAGTTGAAAAGTGTCTGCTGATTTGTCAAAGGAGAATACATTAACAACTCAAACATAGTCAATTTAATTCAACCATATCCAGTCTTATGTTTTGTTAAATACTCTATCTAAAAAAGGTTTTGAATTTGCACGTACCTTCATCTGAAATGTCTAAAAACACAGGATGCTGTCAGGGCATGCAGTGGGCTAACGTTAACTGTTACAGTTCAGAAAAAAATGACATTGAAAAACTTTGCTTTTGTTTTATGGTAAACATGATTTTATAAATTCACACTTACCTTCGCCTTAAATAAATCTCACAGAAAATACCAGGCACTGTCAGCCCGCAAGATTTAATGTTGACATTATGGCATAATACCAACTATATTCTTTCAAAACTATTTCACAAACCACCCTCTCTTGGATACAATTTTCTATATTCAAAAAGGAAAAGTGTGTTTAAACTAATGAAAAATTAGTTTAAACACTAATTATCAACTAAAACAGCAATTCAACAATACTTTTTTGTAAGGGCTACTTCCAGGAAACATTGATGGTGCACTATTTGAGCACCGAGTGAAATACTGCCTCCCCTGAGACTGGGGTGTCAAAATCTGCAATAGGACAAAATGATACTGTGGATACACTTACATTTAATGGGGCAGCACAACAAGATAATGTTACAATATGGCTGGATTTTGTTTTACAATATGCAGAGGTTTCAGTTTTTTTTTATCCCACTTTAGATTAAAAAGAAGAGGTATACAACTGCTTGTTCTTGAAAGCATCACACAAATGCAGTTATACAGCAGTTATCCTTCCACCTGTATTAAAAACAATCACGTTTAAAAGGGATGCTTACAGTTTAAAATCGATAATAGTAACAAACAAAATTAATGCATCAAGCAGCCACTCTGATAGTAGCCTAACGGTATGTGCACTAATAACTTGAAATGTGCCAATTTGTAAAGTAAATTTAATCCTCAGAGGAACAGACTCCATGCAAAGAATGTCAAAGTTCTATCACATGCAAAGAAAAAACGCCATCTGCTGGCTAAAAAAAAAGCTTTCTGATCTAAATACTGCAGGAGTGTCATAGAATGAGTGTCATCGTAATGTTCTTTAACAAATAATATATTGCAAAATTGTATTGGACAGTATTTAGATATTGACATTACAGTAAATACAGAATTAACTTTGGATATAACAAATTCAATTATATACGTTATCCATGTCATTTCTTGATTCATGTGAAATGGTAGGTGTCTTTATGATAAGAAATATGTATCTCATTGTATTATTGATGTTAAAAAAATGAAAGACAATACAATGTTATAACAACATGGACAGTCTATACATGTTTAAACATCGATCGATCCGTTTCCGGCTCTCATCTCATAGAACCAGAACATAATGGAGGCATGAGGTTTCCAGAGTGAGAGTATGTAAACCACATACACAGATATATACTTACAGTACATATGCACATACAAACAGGCACTCACCCAAATACACACACACACACACACACATATATATATATATATATATATATGCACATATACATACACACACACAATACATTCAGCTCATGCACACTTCTGGACACAGACACCCAGTGAAAGTAAAAAAAAAAAAATCCTATAACCATCATACAAGTCCTCAGTCCACCAAACAAAATATGTAAATAGACAAAGTAAAGGAAAATGAGAGAAATAAAAAGACTACATGCTGGAATGAGCTTGACGCAGGCCATGACACCTGTTGTTTGCAGGTATAACAGACATGTTGAACTTAGTGGCACAGACTAGTGCTTTTATCGTGTTTAAAGAACGGAGCGAGGTTTGACTCGCTGACTCCAAGTGCACCCTCTCCTGGTCAGGGTTTGAAGCGCACTCTTCATTCAAGCACAAATAAACTCAATAAAAGCTTACTAGTGGAGCAAAACAAAAAGAGAACTGAAAAATGTGAAAATCGGCATGCAGACACACCATCACCAATGTAAAAAGGAGACAAAAAAAAAATAGAGTAGTTATATAGGTTCAAATGGTCAGATGAGGTGGTGGTTTGAGCTGTGTGTAATATTATAAATAAACTAGATGCTTGTGTTCACTGTCATGGAGTCAAAACAAGTCATCTTTGAGGTGGTTTAAATTTTTTCTTATGTCATTATTACAATTCGGCAAAAGCACCATAGTTTTAGCTAAGCAATTAACATCCCTGTTCCCTCCTACATATAAATAAGCTTCATAGTAACGGAAAATTAGACAAATTAATTAGAAAAAATTAATTAATTAGAAAATTAGTTTTCCCAGTCTTCTTATACTGTCTAGTTTAGAAACGTAATTCAGTAATGCCTCTTTTTCCTTTCATGACACCCTCCGACCCCCCGATTGAGCAGTTGAGGCCAAAATTAAATGTTAATAAAATCTTCAAATCGAATAAGCTAAAGACATTCATCACTTCCTATGTGTGTGTCCATCATCATGTGGTTTGCAACATGTGATGGAGCGTGTTGGGAGTGAGTGTGACTCATCTGACAGAGAGCGTATAAGTGAGATTAACCATTCAAGGCTCCTAGTATCTCAGCTGAAAAGCACATTTCCTTAGGAAACAAGCGAAATCCCCAGCTTCACAGATACCACACAACCAAACTGTCTCCGCTCAGAGCGAGCAACACAATACAGTTCTTTCTGCGAGGAATGAGCTCTGTTACCCAGCTGCATGTCGAGGCACTGTAGGTCCTGGGCTCAGTGGGTCCTGTTGTAGAGCTGCATTTCTGAGTGCCATTGTGTAATTGTGTGTCTGAACCCAATATGTTCCATGGCGCAGCTCCACCGCTGGGCACAGTGGGCCCCGTGGTGCAGCTCTGTGTGAGGGCTCGATGAGCCCCGTGGTGCAGCTCTGCCTCAGGGATCAGTGGGCCCTGTGGTGAAGCTCCACCCTCTTGTCGATTGAGCAGCATCCTCCGAATAAGGCGGCGTGTTTGGTCAGTACAATTTGGTTTCCTGGCGTTAGCTGTCTTCTTGGTGATTGGTGAGAGTCGGCTAGCTGAAGAGCATGCTGAGATTGCTTAGAACTCAGCAGCCTTCAGGCCGATTTTCTCCTCGTCCTGTCAGTCCGAATTGGGCTTCTTCAGTGAGAAAGCATATATGTTAAAATGATCACTCAGCTGCTTCACCTGCAAAGGGAGACAAAGAAAAGACAATAATTAGAAAAACACGATAGCTAAAAAAGGATATTCACAACATTATATTTATTATATAATGTTTAATGAAGTTTATTAAATATTAAAGTGTTCATAATAATAACCACATATATGTATTACTATTATTAATGGTTTTATTAGCTAGAATATTAGCTTAATATTAATAAATCTAATTAATATTTATAATAATTCTAACTAAAAACAACAATCATTCATTCTAAATATATATCCGCACACACTGTCGTGGTCAGAATTATTGGCACCTTTGGTAAATATAATCAAAGAAGTCTGTGAATCTGCATTATGCATCATTTTGATCTTTCTTTCAATAAGTTCTCAAAAATCGAGCTTTTCATTGAAGTAAAACTAATGAATGTTGGGGGGAAATCACATTATAAGGTAGGAACAACGCCAAAGAACTAGCACTTATGAAAGTTGACTGCGTTGTTGCCTCACATTGGCGGCCTGTTCTGTGCCTGTGTGTAAACGAGAAATCCGTCTATTTCTGCAGCTATATTTGTCTATATTCATCATTCAAAAAGGGAAACTAACACTGCAGGCTGCAGATACACAAACCGTAAACAAAGCGATGTGTGCTTACCATTTTGAATATCAATCATGCTGATCACTTTCTTTATTCCACTCGGCTTATGTTATTATTAAAATATTTGCTCAGGAACACTCTATACTCTCTTAACTTCTTTGCTTGCTGTTTTGCTATTATTCCTGTGCAAAACTGAACAGCCAATCAGAGTTCTCTCTCAAACTGATGCCCCAACGCCAATCCTAAATGCAGAATCGGCCCAAAAAAACCTGACGCTATCTGACTAAAGCCAACAGTGCGGAACAAACTGGAAAAAAACAAGTCAGCCGATGCTCAAAAACGTCCCGACACGAACACACAACACGTTGGCCACCATTATTGGTACCCCAAGAAATTCTCATGAGTAAAATATCTCTGAGGTGTATTCCCCTTCATATTTGCAATTTTTAGCACACCAGGGTGACTATTAACATGAAATTATCCATCCATGACTTCCTGTTTCACAAGAGTATAAATAAGGTAACACAAAGAATTCCCTAAAGTCATCCATCACAATTAGTCAAATCAAATATAGTTCTACAGCAAAAGATTATTGAGAATTATAATATCAAACATACTAAGAACAATGATTAACTAATGATTATTAAATATAATTAAAAACATATCAATATGAAAAAGATTCTTCACGACCAACTAGGAAGCAGTGAGTGTGTCTGTACTCACCACTGATACTCCATAGTGTATGTGAGTGAGGAGGACTACAGCAGTCCAAATGTACAGGACAGCCGTTTCACCATCCTGCACAGTCCCAGATATCACTAGCAACACCACTGCTGTCATCGGCAACAACAACAAACTCAATGGCTTGCATCGAGTATTGCTCATCTGGCAGACAATGAGCTTGCACTGGGAGAGAAAAGGAGAGAAAAGGGAGCAGACATTTGACTAAATGCTTCAACTGGAACTGAAAGGCATCCATTGACATGGCAGGATGTCAGATTTCATTTATCGTGTTGGACAAGAGTCACTAGCTGAATGACCAGACGAATGCGGATGATTTGGTTTTAAAAGCGAAATGTAAAACCTGCAAAGGGTTAATAATGTACCCAACTTTCAAGAAATTGCCACTCCCGAATTACCGCCAATTTGTAAAAGTAAAAAGAAAAAGACGCACATTTTACTTTTGCTTTTGAATTATAAGCAGTGATACTGATATTACCACATGCCAATTAACCAGTGAAAAATGTCCTTACCATCACAACCCTAGTGTAAACTTCAATACAAATTCTGAGTATGGGTTACTATATTTGGCATTCACATCATGTCACTTTTGTCACCAGACAACTAGAGGACTGTGGGCACTCACAGTAATGTTGGAGAAGGCTGTTCCCACCATAAGATAAAAGACTCTGGGTTGCTGCTTCAAAATGTCTGAGGGAGAAAGACTGATCCACAGCGTAGACAGCACAAACAAGAGGACGGGAGAGAAAAACGGCAACAAGGCCTCATACACCGAACTGTGCTTCAGGGTGTTTTTCCGGTATGCCCTTAAAATATACAGAGAAACAGTGAGAACAAATATCCCTGTTCCAAAGCATACATTATTTATCAGAACAAAAATATGGCACAAAGACTCATTTTCTATGCAGTGCAATACTGTATGTTTTAAATGAGGTGCAAGAGGTCTGGAATGAAACTTACTTGAAGACATTGTAGAGACTCATAGGCAATGTTACCACAAATAAACAACCTGAAAAACAAAACAAAAATGAAATCATCCTTTAGGGTGTGTTCACAATTATAGTTTAGACCTCTTGGTTATTTTGCTTGTTTGTTGTTTGATTAACATTAATGAGACAGACAGCAGTTTATTATGCTGCTGTCCATTAAAGACAATGGCAATGGACAGATCCAATTTACTGACAGTGACACACATCCGCTTTTCACCCAACTGTTTTTAAGACATAACCAAGTGAATACTTTCGTATTCTGACAGTCCATCTATCTGACCAGTCAAGCGCAATAAGACGAGAGAGAACTGAATTTGCAATTGCTTGCTGTCTGAGGGAGGATTTTCTTTTTTAACACTTTATTGAGCTCAACATCAAGCAGGTCCCAGTCTTTATCACTCTTACGTGTATTTAACTTTAAGTAGTACTGTACTACGCAGATATATTTACATACAGCGAAATAAACAATATAGTAAACTCTCTAGACACTTTATACCGTGGTCAAGATGGTATATATCCGCATACCGCCCAGCTCTACTGTGTGTTGGGTTAAATGCACTCGCTGTATGTGCGTACAGTATATGATGGTGCTGAGTACTTGTGAAGAGCTTAAAAAATACGTAAAGGAGTCAAAACAGCCACAGGAATCCGTCTGTCACACACACAAACGAAGATCTGCTCTGGTTCTGTTGCCACAACATTTGAGACTATGGCGAGAAAAAAACAGGTATGCTTTAGCGTTCCCAACTTATTAGGGTAGCATCTTGTGACATCATGTCCTGTTTTTGGTTCGTTTACACGTCTTTGGTCAGAGAGACCAAAGACAGAAACCCATCTTTTCAGCGCTTGTCAGCGTTCACACTTAGTCAAATGAACCGCACAGAGCAATCACACCAGGGTTCATTTTAATCGAACCAAACATGCCAAGTGTGAACACACCCTTAATTTGTTATTTGTTAGTTTGGTCTGAGAGCCAGTGAAAACACAGCATATGCCATTTAACTGTAAAAGGAGCCAATGAAAGAGCAAAATCCACTCACCAACAATCATAAAAGTGAAGAAATCTCTGTAACGAATATTCCAAATAACAGGGTTGGTCCATGCTTCCACACCAACCAGCGCTGTTACAAAGTATACAACGGAGATAGTCTGAAACAAACAAACAAAAGGATTATTACAACCTGTCTGGCAGTGCCTTTTTATGGTAATTATTTCATTCAAGGATTAATATATTAGAATATAAGTATTAAAGGGATAGTTCACCCAAAAATTAAAATTAGCCCATGATTTACTCGCCCTGAAGCCATCCTAAGTGTATATGACATTCTTCTTTGAGACGAATACAATCAGAGTTGTACTGGCTCTTCCAAGTTTCATTATGGCAGTGAATGTCTGTATGTCTTTGAAAGCCCATCAAAGTGCATCTATTCATAATTAAAGTGCTCCACGTGGCTCTGGGGGTTAATGAGGGCCTTCTGAAGTGAAGCGATGCATTCGTGTAAGAAAAATATCCATATTTAAAACTTTATCGAATAAAATAACTAGTTTCCGGCAGACGCACCGATTTAGACAAAAAGAGTAACCTTTGACCTTGATGCACACCTAGGATGGCTTTTTTTTATAGAACTCTGATTGTATTCGTCTGAAAGAAGAATGTCATATGCACCTAGGATGGCTTCAGTGTGCGTAAATGATGGGCTAATTTAAATGTTTGGGTGAACTATCCCAATAATCAAATGTGTGTGACTGTGTGACTGTGTGACATGCTCAGAAACTAAATTTTACCAGCAATAATTTTATAACATTTTTAAAATGCACTACCATGCATTTTTTTTCCTTTTTTAAAAAGAAATTAATACTTTTATTCAACAAGGATGCATTATGTACAAAAGTTAATAATAATAATAAAAAATAATGTTACAAAAGATTTAATTTCAAAGAAACACTGTTCTTTTAAACTTTCTATTGATTGAAGAATAGAACCGCACAACTGTTTTCAATATTGATAATAGTTAGAAATATTTCTAAAACCCTAAATCAGCATACAAGAATGATTTCTGAAGGATCATGCGACACTGAAGACTAGAGTATTGTATTGTAAAATCTAATAATAATAATAAGCATTTATTTGTATAGCACTTGTCATACATAGACTGCTACTCAAAGTGCTTCACATGCATGAAATCAAATACTACAATCACACAATGTAAATATAAAAATATCCGAAAACAACTATAAAGGTTTAGTGTGTAAAATAAAGTGAATTGGCAATATAGTTTGACCTCAATATCGATATAAAATAATATAAATTAAATTAAAAGGGTAAAATAGAACATAAAACTGACTTACACATAGCTTTGTTACATTACAACACCAAATATGAATGCGAACAGCCTCTTTTACTTCATTTGGTAGACAAATCTAAATTTTTGGAGCATAGTGGCAAAAATAAGTACCACCAGATCTTGTCTGCTTTACTGTATAATGTGCCAGAAGGTTAGCACTAGAGGATCTTAAACTACGATTCGGGACATATTATCTCGACAGGCAGTCTGAAATGTATAGAGCTGCCAGATTGTGCAGTGTTTTATAAACTAATAAAATAACCTTAAAATCAATTCTTGAATGCAATTCCATTAAAACCAGTGTAATATGCTATCTCTTTTTAAATTTCATTAGTACAGTGGCTCCTGTTTTGAAATGTTTTCTTTTCATTCAGCTTATCAACAGGTCATGTTAAATTACCACTTGACTGATGTCGTAGCCCCAGGGCAGGAACAGAATTCCAGTGTTGTACTTCTCCCAGTGAGACAGTATGAAGGAAAACAGGACAACCCATAATAGATAATACAGCGTCACCACGCTGACGCCCGTCTCACCCCGTCCAAAGACAGAGTACACTGTAGCGACGAAGAACACACATGCCCAGCTGTCCAGGCCGTGGTCAAATAGTTCACCCAGCGGCGTGCTGGAGTTTGTTCTGCGGGCCTGTTTTCCGTCCACACCATCTGCATGCACACACACACACGCAACAAAATATATTTATATTACACATCTGACAATCTTGCTAACACATCCGCATAATGTTTCAAATATACTCTGAAAAGAATATTCACAGCCCTACCCATTCACAAAAATTAAGTGCTAAAACGCAAGTTTCAGACAATTTGCTACATTTTCATATGCAAATGTGTGATTTGGGGCTGTATAATGGTTAAATGTTTTTGTTTTGGCCATTTAGTTATTAAAGGGTATAACCTAGAAGCTTTGTGCAGTTACACTATGTGAAATCTCAAGACCCACAGAGAAGGGAATGAATAGTTGAATAAAGTCACAAAAAGTATTCTCATTGCTTGATAAACACAGCTCAGCAGGTCTATAAATGAATGCAGGTAGGAGGATAAATATGATATATGAATATCAAAATATCAGACCTGTGAATTAGGCCCTAGTACAAATGCACCGTAATAGTTAAATGATAGCAATAGCAATTATGTTATTATTTTAATTTTTCCTGTGTTAATGAGAATTGTGCATTTTAAAAGAAAATACTTTGACAACCCTATTAGCAAGACTGTGTCTTCAAAACAAATTAATTAATTTTGAAACAAAAACAAAAAAGACACACTTACCTAAGGTATAGGCCAGGAAGTTGAACAAGCCAGCAGCTACCCAGACCCAACTTGGCACATGTGTAAGGTCATTACCTGTGCCACACAAGAACACCCACAAAATAATGAATCCCATTTGTATGTAGGTACTCAACTACAGTAACAGCTTTACAATTTAAACTATAAACTATTATTAGGGCTGGCACAATTTTCACACTGTCTTTTCGATTTCGATTCACAAACTTGCGATTACATTTCGATTCAACTTGAGTTCAATATTTGATAGCTGTTTAACGATAAAAATGTTCAGTTACCAACAGTAATATCCAGTGATGCAAACAAACATTTTTATGAATTTTCACCTGTTTTAATTAACAATACGGCATTTATTTAAATATGGATTTGACAAGAAACCTTTTTTTGACATATTACAAATACAAATAATAATATTTTTTTTTTATAATTTTATTCATAACTACAATCCATGTGAAATTTGTACCGTTCTTATTTCTTTTTCTTTATTTCCTTAAATCCCCTTAAATCCTTTACTTATTTTAAATAAACCAATCAAGAATTATTGGTTTATTCAAATATTGCGATTGAATGTGTGGGAGACTTGATACAAAGTTCTGTTTATTTATCAACTGAGAACAGAATAAAAAAAAAAGATCAAATGTTGGGATTTAAGAATCAATTTAAATTGAGTAATCTTTTTTTTTTACCCAATCTTAACTAAATATTACACTAAAAATGAATCCTTTAAATAATTAGCTGTAATTTATGTTACATATATAAAATATACATTAGAGCATTTAATTTAATATATACATATTTATTTAATCGTTTATATATTAATTACAAATTAACTAAACATTTTGCCATAAAAAAAACTCAAAAATACTTTCATTTTGGTTCATTTATGAATAATTAATTTAACTTTTCAATGATACACCATTTTGAGAGACCATATTTGATTTATGCTTCAATTTGCTCGGGTGTAAAACTGCAAGCCAAATACACCATGACTTTATTACTCCTTAATGGAAAAATATATTTGTTACTGGAAAAACTACACAAATGTCACACTACTAAAAAACGTAAAGTTTCTAGTATCCCTACTTTTAATTATTCACTCCACAACACTGAACGTACAGTGTGTTTAAGCTCTGTAATGCACAAGTGAGTGATCTGGGAATGTGTACAAATGTGGCTGTGTATGATGACTAGTTGATAATTATAAGAATGATGAGCTGGAAGTGAGACCTTGATCCTTGTCATATAAAAAATACACATACTTATACAACACAAAGACAGAGGTAATGTTTTCTCTTATCATTGTACATCACCAATTTAGTAGGTTATTATTGTAATCATTACAAAATATGTTAAAGGCTCCAAGCTTTGAGGAAGAGGGCATTAACCAACAATACTGCTCACCAGTGCATCAAAACTATAACAATCATACAGTTTTTTGACCTCACCTGAGGCATCAAAGTTAAAGTCAAAGAAAGACAGCAAGGTGAAGGTTAGTACCAGGAACATGAACCCTGTAAAGGTGATGAGGTTTGGGGCAATCCATGTAGGCAAAACCTGAGACACAGAGAGAGAAAGAGAAATTAGCAAGTTGCAAATGGTCTGCTCCTCCTCGCAGGTAATCAGATCCAGACGGAACATTCATTAATGTTGCATATATGCAATTCAATGAAAGCAAAACAGCGTAATGTTATGCTTTGATGCGAAATACCACTATACATTTATGGATTCAAAATATTTTTTATAAAGATTGACAATCCAACAATTTATTAACAATATATAATTGAATTACAATACATTTATATTCATTTTAATATACACTGATGAGCCAAAACATTATGACAACCTGCCTAATATGCTGTTGGTCCTCTCACTCTACAAGATCTCTGAAGGAGTCCTGTAGTATTCCCATACACTATGTGTTGACACGCATTCCTTCCATAACCATCATTAAAATTGTGTGACTTGTGCCACAGTAGACCTTCTGTTGGTTTGGAAAAGACTGGATAGCCGTCGGCGGTTCGAAAGGATACCCACCGTCAGCGGTTTCTCCATTCTCAGACCACTGTAGATAAATTCTCACCACTGCTGACCGGAAGCAACCCACAAGCCTTACAGTTTCAGAGATCCTCTGACCCAGTCGCCCTGCCTTAACAATCTGGCCCTTGTCAAAGTTGCTCAAATCAGTATTCCTGCTATTTTCTCATGCATCCAACACATCGATTATGATTGCCGTTGCTCCCATCTAAATCTACCCAGAATTTAATATGTGGCCTTGTTAGGAGATGCTCAAAGATATTCAATATTTGATATTCAAATATTTTTGTATAATCAAATTTGAAAGGACCTTTGTGTATGCTTGCCCTAATTTCAGTCTTGACTTTTAAATCAATTCAATTCAAATTTATTTGTTTAGTGCTTTTCACAATACATATTGTTTCAAAGCAGCTTTACAGAAAGTGCATCCATTATTTGTGTAAATAATAAATTATTATTTAACTAGTACATTTAAATAATAGAAATAAAAAAGAATCTGTCTGGTGAAGTGCTTATTATTATCATTATATGAGGGACAGAACGCGCTTGTGCATTCTGGGTAACATCCAAAATGACAATCATGACATGACCATTCTCACCTTTACCACTGAGTTCCAGAAAGGGTGCATGACGTAGATCGAGAGGGGGTTGGAGTCCACTGCACTGTACTGTAAAGAAGGGAAAGACGACAAGATGTGTAGAGTGAGAAACCACATTAACACTCAGGTCAAGAAGCGTGAATGTTGAAAAGTGCTAACAACAGAGTGCTTCTGCTAATATGGCTCACTGTTTCTGCTGACTTCAGATGAGATTATTAAAAATGGTAACTACATTATATCCCTGAATCTTTAATCAGCTTCTGCCCAAGTGACTGGAACGACTGGAAAATAAACTCTAACCTCGATACGATTTAGAATGTACCTAGCATGTATGAAACTCCTCACTAAAGCACATTATAATGTGTGGTATGGTTCAGGAATCAGGGGTGAAGGCAGATCACTTTTCAACTGCTCCCCCAGGATGTGTTCCCTGCATGAGGTCATACTTGGAGCGTAAGGGGAGGGTGGCCATTGAAGCCTCGAAAACATCTGGATCTGGGAAGGTTTGTACCAAAACCAAAAAATACATACTAAAATGCAATGCATATTATTATTATTATCATCAGTTCATTTCGCTTATGTAATAAACACAGTTCAGTAAAGACCAATTTAATATCATAAAATGTATGTACACAATATTTAATCAAAATGTTAAACTATCCATTTACAAAGCCGTTTCAAGTGTCAGCCATGCACTCTAGCATTTTCTAAAAAAAATTGCATATTATTTTGACAGATTTAACTAGCTGTACAGAGTCAATACAGCGCTTAAGGGGTTAAAAAATAAAATTGCGCAAGATGGAGTAGTCATGTACTGTATGTTCAAGTGTGTGCAAACATCCAGAGCAAGAACAACACATACCAACTCAGCAGCCTGTACACCTAACAGCACAAAGTTAATATATACAACTTATCAGACCAAGAGAACATTACACCAGGAGACACAGAGGGTCAAAGCTACTTTCATTCACAAGGAAATTACCACTCAGAAAACTCGGAAACCCTTCTAGTAGCTCCACGCCCTTTAAACCAAACTATCCTGTTCAGAGAAGCCTAAACCCATCATGAATGTTTAGCAACCAACACTGCTCATCTTTTAGTGTCCAATAACTGATATGCCAAACTGATTCATACTTATTTATAGCAGGTATTAAACACAATAAAAAATAATCACCGCACAATAAATACATATACACTATGGAAATTTCAACAAAAATATTACTGTTAGTAGTTGTTTGAGATATGAGCAGTTATTTTATTGCTGAGATCAGTTTTTGGCCCCAGTTAATTTTCAAAGGCATCCTGCTTCAAACAAAACATTAAATAAGCAAACAAGTCATATTTTCTGTTGTTTCTTGTTGGACACAGCTGTATATAATAATGGCATTGTTGGGGTCTATTAGATATATATTAAAAACTGGTCACTTATAGAAAATACACTACTGTTCAAAAGTCTGGGATGTATAAAACATTGTTATTAATGATTTTGAAGAGAGTCTCTTATGGTCACCAAGGCTGCATTTAATCAAAAATACAGTAAACAACAACGGTGATATTTAGAAATATATTACCATTTAAAATAACTATTTTATATTTGAATATATATAATATATATTATATGCAGTTTATTCCCGTCATGGCAAAGCTGAATTTTCAGCATCATTCCTCCAGTCTTTCACAGTGTCACATGATCCTTCAGAAAAATCATTCTTATATGCTGATTTGCTGCTCAAGAAACATTTATGAGTACTGGTACAAAAGAGAGAAGATAAAAAGAATGATTGGTCTACCACAACCCAAGAGGCGAGATTAAGCAAGCTAATGCACTGGAGATGACAATGATCATGATGAACACAAGTTAACAGGTCGTGATATCCAAACAACGGATAAACAAAGAGATTTGCAAGCCAGTCCTGCCAGTGCTTCTACTGTAAATTATATCAAAGCACTGACACTACATTTCCATCTACAGACTAGTAATACGTGAATATTAAATTAACAAATGAACATTGAAAGTGAAAGCACATGTGTGACTCACATGCAAATAATGTCCTAAACCATAGATCCATGTTGGAGGCGGAAACCGTAGCCCATCCCTTTACAATTAAACTCGGTTTACAAACTAACCAACATAACATAGTAGTACGTAGGTCAACTAAAAAAAAAAAAAAAAAAAAAAAGCTGGACACTGTGTCCCAGCTGGCAAAAGTACACAGTAGCCTAATGTTTAGAAATGAAGATCTAACGTTACTTTCACTGGCGGTTTCAAGTCACTGTACCACAGCACTGAATTAACCGGTTAATTCCACTGATATATACATTTTGAATCTTCACATTTCAAGTATACACACTAATAACTAAATCATGTATCAATTCTTCTTACAAATTCAAGGGGAAATGTACTGTTTCTCTATAAAGGTGACAATAAGCAGCAGTTGTCCTTTCTAGAGAGCAGCACACACCGGCAGACCTCATGCTTTCATGATAGCATTAACAGCCCGGCACAGCTAGCCGACACCCTAAAGACCTACACACTGTGCGGAAAAAAATGGATATGAATGGCCTCACCTTATATTGATCAAAACCTGATAGTTGCTCTTGGGTGACATAGTCGTAGAGAGCCATGTTGACCGCTGAACGGCTCTGAGACTGACCGAAATCCACCACCCGTGTCGGAGCTCACGGTATCCGCAGTGCTGCGCGTGAGCGGTGGCTCGACTCTCTGTGGCGTGACGCCTGAAACTCCGCCCACAATCCAATGTGTTTTTCAAAATAAAAGCCGATGTGGCCCTTCTTGTTAACAGTGACACAATTTCTACAGTTACATTATAATTCTAAATATAAACATATAAATAAATATAAACGCATTAAACAAATATAAACTAAATATAAATATTATTTGGAAACTTTTTTTGTTTCTATTCAGTTACATTTTTACGTTATTTTATTTATGATACTTACATATCACATTCTGGTACTGGTTATTTATTATGTATTACACATAAAAAAATATTTAGTTTGAACTTTTTTTTTTGTTTACCCAGTTTTCTCTAATCTTTCCACTAACATGCCCTTCCAGTCCTGCTGAGGGGACTTTTAAATCCCTGTTCTAGTCTACATGAAACATTTACAAATATAGCCATATCAGACCTTTGGCCATATGCACCATAATATAAAAACTATTATTTTACACTACGCGAGTTTAGTCCGGGGTTAGTCACACTTTTTTATTTCTGTGAGTAGGTTCACTTTTTAAATTCCAATTAGTCTATAAGCATATACCTTAAATTGATGGATACCAAACAGCTATTTAATAAATTATTTTTATTGTAAACGGAATATTTTAAATTACGTATGAACACATAGCTCACTTATGTTTGCCTTTGGTTCGATATTCACTATTGTGTAAGGCCCCTGTTCACCCACTAGGGGTCAATACAAATCTACGAAACCAATAAAAATGGCCACCTCAGTAGAAAGTGTACATCTGTCATGACCATAGACAGTCGGTCATCACCTCTGTCTATGGTCATGACTCATGCACACGACACAACTCATACAATATATTTGTATATTACTGATAAAACTATTGGTAGTTCTCGTACATTTATAATTCATTTGGTATACACTTATATCCATCCTTCTATGCTCTTGAGTTAAACTGTGATTGTGTGCATTTCAGTCTCTTGAAAATGTGAATAAGCAATGATAGCTTTCTAAAATGAAAACTGACAATTTTTTTCTGGCAAATCCGGATGATTTTTTTTAATCACACAATAATAAAAGTAATAAAAATCACAGGACTCAAAATTACTGATCACATTTTTCTTAAAAAAATATTTTTCTTTGTTTTTGTGGTCACAGGCAGCTCTAGAGCAAAGCCTGAAATTCATTATTACGATTATCCTCAAACCAAGTAATAGGGACCAATATAATTACATGGATCTGCATTTATTAACATGCCATAAAAAGTATCACATTTCAAATAGTTACATTTCTCTGATTAAGGTGCTTGGCCCCGCAATTGTTGTTTGCACAGATCATGATTAAGACAGCTATATGAGTAACAAGCCACATTTATTAGGTATCTAATAACATTTAAACAATAATTGTCCTACAAACATTATATTGTGCATAAGATATTATAAAAAATATTAGTAAATCATGTCACAGATTTATTTTTATTTTTTTAGACAGGTTGCATAATTATATTTATTTAAAATCTAATAAAGTCAAGTCCATCTAGGGTCAAGAAAGTAAAAACTGGAGGGGATATTGCTGGTATTGTGAACTCTTATCAACACTATTAATTCTGCACAAGCCTTATCTGTTCCTCTAGTAAATTTAATCAGACTTTAAATAATAATGCTAGAGATATTTCCCTAACCCCAAAAGGTATCTGCTGACTTCTTTCACGTTTTTGTTTTTTTAGAGGGAAATTCTGTGGAATGGATTTTAACATGGTAAAACAGAGCTGAAGGCATAATCAAATTAATCCAATTAAATAAATACATGCAAAAGGGGCGGAGAATACATTGACATGTGTGAATGATGGAGAGTCCATGCAGGCCTGCTGATCCCTGAGGAATTCTGCCAGCTGCATCATGGTGTCAGTGCACATGATGACTCTGCTTCCCATCAGGCTTGAGGGTCACCTTTCCCACGAGGTGCGGGGTATTCATGTGGACGGTGCTTGTTCTGACTGTGAGCTTGCCGGAGGTTTTTTTGTGAGGGTCGAGCAAAGCAGGATGTCAAAGAGCGTGAGCTGCAGTCACAGGCTCCATCCTGGCAAAGAGAGGGAGAAAAGTAAGGAGATACACTCATAAATGCTCAGCATTATGACAAATTAAGTGACAAACAAAAAACTTTTCACCTTATTTTCATCTATTTACAATTAGGCCTACTGATCCAATAGTCTTACTAGAGTGACTTTTTCTAGTTGTATTTAGTAAAAATGAGTTCACCATGGTTACACTGTGTCTGTGCCATTCACTGTAAATGTCATTATGACTTTAAAATATTCCTTAAAAAAATTTGAAAGAATTTAATTTAAAAATTACAAATTATTGAATGCATAACACATTGCAAGTCTCACGAATCTATTCATAATTGTACTTTGAATTAGATAAAGCCAAAACTAAATAAACCAAAAATAAAGTTCACAGAGGGAGTCATTTGTGAATGATTCACCGATTAAGTTAGTCTGAATCACTAAGGCCAAGACTCACTAAAGAGAGCCACTTCATTATAATCATTTTGTTTTCATTTTTTGTTCATGACAAAACTGCACATGGACACACTCAATCTTTCACAAGGAGTCATTTTAAATGATTTTGACTGATATATCCAAACTTTAAATTTTTTGGTCATGTTTTTGAACAAGTTAAACTTTACTGCTAACCTCCAAGCCCTTGTTCTTGCTGATTGAACCCCTGTCGATTTGGCGTTGGGTCTGATTATGACAGGCTGCCTCCTCTTTTTGGCTGTTTTTCATAAATCTGCGGTTCACGATCTTAGTGATGCTGTCATTTCTGACCAGTGGCACGGCTGGTATCCGAGACGGGGGGTGCTCGGATTTCTTTGAACCCACCAGTCCGACGTGATCCCTACGAGCCGCTGGAGCTTTCTCCATCGCCGGGTTGGTCTTCTCTCCTCGGCCACAAACGTTGCGCAGAAACTCCTGGACCAGGCCGTACTTGTGGACTCCTACAGTTTTACGAGCGCCAGGTTTATCGCTGGCCTGCGCTGATCCTGAGCTCGGCCTGCTAGGTGTCGATCCACGTTGCGACAGAGCCCACAAACCACGTTCCTTAGCTCCATAATCCATCCTGGAGGAGGCGCTCAGAGATGAGAAAGAGGACATAGAGGATGTAGTGAAGGATGAAGAGGACGATGGTGAAGTGGAAGAGGAAGACTTCGAGGAAAACGGAGAGGATGTAGAGTGCCTGCGCTGTATTTTGGGCGAGGTGGAATGTGGTGGAAAGCGCTCTGCAGGTCCAGGTACCCTTTCCAATGATGCTGACGTCTGATGGGTTCTAGCGGATACAAATGAGGTCACCCGGGGTGACCAGTGCTTTGCGGTATAAAGACTTCGAGGGCCATCGGTCTGTAGCCCGACTGTGCTCACCTGTGGTTGGGATTGTGTTTGAGTTCCCGTACTCACAACACTCGCCACATTGCTCGCAAAATCCTTCCCTCTTTTCCTCTCTAGAGGGCTGGATTGCGTGGTTTGAAGCACACTGGCTGTAATTTCCTTCATGTCATCACTCAAGTTGGCTGAGACGTCCATGCTATTGAAAGCCAAGCGTGAAGGGGAAGCAATACTGGAGGTCTGAAGACCTGAACAGGATGTAGAACTGATGACATTTCTCTCCGTCAAATTTTGGCAGCCAGTCGGCACGGTACCCAGCCAGTTTTCGTATGCAGAGACCCAGTCTCGGTTTACAAGGCCACAGGAAAAAGCATCGAAATGTGGTTCCTGGCTCTCCTCACGCTCTTTCTCCTCTCCTGCAACTAGAGAGCTCATTTGGATCCTTTTTGCTGATGGTGGGCTGAAATATATACGAATGCTGGTCCTCTCTGGAGCAGTGTGGCTTCTCTGGGTCAGCTCCTGGTTTAGGTTCAAACCAGGGAAACTGGAAGGCATGATAGGGCAGTCCCAAGTCTTACAGCCGTCTTCCCTGTCCAGAAGGGCTGCTTCATGACTGAGGTACTTCCAGTTCTTGTTGGGTTTCAAAAAGCCAGTTTTGAGAGTCATCCTGGAGGGAAAGATAACTCTTAATTAATTAATTAATTAATCAATAACTTTATATAGATAGATGTCTTGAGATAAAATTACTCTGTGAAAATAAAAGAATCTGACCTTTCCATTTTTCCATCTTTTGTCATCTTATTTCTGGGGGACTGAAAGTGGGTTAGAAAGATTATTATTCTGCACTCATGATTAGTGTATTTTTATATAAAAATATATACTTAGAAAAAATACATTAAACACACACACTCTGTATAGTATAGAAAATATTATTTCCCTTATGAAAATATAATTTCCCTTATGAAAATTAACCATGGTTTTACTATAGTATTTCATGTTTTTTTTATATATGTTTTAAATATGTTTTTTTGGTTTTATTTGTAATAAAAACCAAGGGGTTGGTCCTCAAAACATTTTTTATTATTATCAAAGTTGAAAATGGTTGACCATTTTTGTGAAAACTGTGATTATTTAATTAACAAATAGTTCTAAAATACTAAAATATAATAAAATACTAAAATATTATATATGAAAACAACCTGTACAACTTTCATTTTGAATTCATTTTGAGACAGGGAATCCTTCTACTATTACTTAGGGATGAGCATTTTAAGATGCACAGTAATCATTTAATCTTAAGTCTTATTTAGGGAAAGTGTGTCAGGGAGTGACAGTTAGGGATTACAGAAAAGAAAACAGCAAGAAAACGCTTTGATCACGAAAAACATTGGAAAAATGTCTCTGCATTCCAATCCAGGCTTTACTTAACACCATCAAAGAACCGTCATGTCTACATTCCAATTTTATTCTTAGTATATATGATAATGAACAGACAGTTTGTCAAAGGGAAGATTGAAACTGCCGTCAAACAATATAAAAATTGCGTTGTTTAAAAATAGACGGTAACATTTAAAAATCCATTGTGCATTGTACCCTCTAAAAATGCCTCCTCTTTCCTCTCTCCTTCTTTCCCTCG